CAGTTGGACAGGTGTACCTAATAAAGTGGCCGGTGAGTGTATATATCCAGCTTGTTGAACAGAGCAGAACAGAGGTCCCACCTTTGTCATGTCCTCCCATTGAAAAAAAAGTTCTAAAACTTTATTAAGTGACCAGCTAACCAAATCCATAAAAATATCCACAATTTTTGGTTTCGAATGAAAACGTAGAGAAGGCTCCGAGCAGCAAAGCAGGGAAAGATGAGGAAAGGCAGGAAAGAGGGAAAAAGTGTCTTACTCCTCCGAGAGCAGAACAAAAAATTTATTGAAACCTTTAGTTTCAATAAATGCCACAAGATGATAAATCTTGTGGCTGAGAAAGATTAAAAACCAGAGAACCTCTAAATATAACGTAAAATATAACCAGATAACAAAAGTCATACAAAGCACAACCATCTGTTGTTATTCTTAGATAACTTTAACCAATTTTATTTTCTAAGTAAATGTTTTGTACAGTGCCCTGAGGTGACTTGTGATTCAAAGGTGTATAAATAAACTGAATTTAATCTGCATCACAATATTTCTTTAAGACTAGTAATGTTTGAACTGCAATAATACGTTCTAAATAAAATAGTAGAGAAATAACCATTTTCAACCCCCGCTATACAAGGCTGCATTGTTTTTGTGGTCACATGCGATGTTGATCATATTTAAAAGAAAAACACACAAAAATAAAAAAAATCATCAAAGGCAAGCTGGTGATGTTTGCAGGATCCCCCAGCTCAGTGATGGCCGGCACAGCAGCACTCTGATCCATCCTGTAGCACAACATGAATCACAGGAGCAACAGTGAAGCTCTCACGAGTCATGCTGTCTACAAACAACATTAAAACACCTTTAGTTTTCCCTCCTCTTTTCCAAGAACCAAACAGAAGCAAACTCAAGTCTTATAGCATCAAACACTCACCATCTTTCTCTCATTCTTATATTGATGTAGAAACACAAATAACCATCTCAAAATACTTATTTAAATTAGAAGAAATGTAACACCCAGATTTTATCAAATTTTACTTAAGTCATCTAATTTATTTCCTGTTAGACTGGAAATTAACATAGCCAAATGATCCAATGATTTTTATAACAAAAAGGAAAAAAAAATATTTAAATGAAAAAAAAATCTAACAGTAATGTGTACAAGGATGTTTGATCCTTTAACATAAAAACAACAATTAATCCCTAATTAAATCAATGTTCACAATAATATTTTTCCATATGTAGCTTTTTGTGGAGATGAGCCCTTTCAGTCTGATTCAATAATTTTACTACATCTATACTCCTATAGAAGGAAAGTGGACAAAACAGTTGCACCCATGAAGCTTTTTTATCAGCTTCATTTTTATTGATTTTTTTTCTGTTTCTAAATTATCTGCTTGGGTTCGTTCTCAGAAAGATAGAAAAATAAATCTCAGATGCAGTACAATGAGGATCACAACTGACATTGTAATAAAATAATTTAAATTATTATGTGCATGTGTAGGTGATGTAACTAAGTGGTCACATATTGTGACTGTAATCTTTTGATGCTGCCATTAGATGCATTCTCGGCTCATTTCATGATAATGATGACCATCTCAGTTTTCATTCAGTTACAAAATGCGTATTAGAGCAATTATTTGCCCATGGTTGGCAGGATAATTTACACTGTCTTCAAAAAAAAAATGACCCCACCTCTGCAAATAAGAACCTAGAAAAAAGTTACATGTATACAGTCTATTCTGAGGTATTTATTAGGTACTAATCTGTTTGAAAAAACAGCCAAATTTTCCCTGAACAGTTTAATCTAAGCTTACAACATCAACTTTAGCATATTCTTTTGGTCCAATATTTCTACACCTCCCTTCTCTGAATCTGTGCCCTGAAACAGTTTGGAGGCCCCCTGAGGGGGTGTGTCTGACACTGTGGACACCTCAGGTTCAACAGACACCTAGAGTCGACATTTTAACAGTGTCTGGATCAAACACTCCGTATGAGAAATGTAGAAAATGAAATGGAAGTACATTAAACTGCATTACCTCTCTGAACTTTTACACCAAAAAGATCAAAGGAGACGATTTTATTTGCTTTGTACAATGTTATTTTCATATTGTAGGGGTCACCTCGAGTGAAGAAACAAGATTTACTGCCTCGAAGCAGGCCTCGGACAGGCCTACTGAGAAGGCAGGAACTCTGTCACAAACTGAACTCTATTTAGGCCATGACAGGTCATTTCAACCCTAGGAGAATTTCTCAGTTCTCTTAATCAGATAATGGACAGAACAATCTTTTTCCGTTTGTGATTTATTTGTTGTTTAACTAAGAATGTTTATGCATTTGTTAAATCATAATAATGACTGTCACAAGAAAGTGGAATCACTTCTACTCTTTTATCATGCCTAAAAGATTAATTAATGGGAAAAAAATCACAGAGAAAATCATTACCATATTTTCATTGTGTTTTTATATAAATCACTGTTTTTATTTTTACTGGGAACACAGTAATATAATTGTGAGTTTTTTCTTGAGAAAATATTTCATTTATCTGGACTAACAGAATGGTTCAGACTGATTACTTAAACAGAAATGTTAATTAATCATCATGAATGTTTTACAGTGATTTCTCTTAGAGTCTATCAGAAGAAAAAGCTAAAGAAAGGTTATCATATTCTGTTGTGACAACCACAGAATTTTAGCCTTGAGCTGGCGCCGCTGGCAAGTCTCTTATCTTTCTTCTTTTCTCTGACTCATTTTAAGCCTGAGGGCGGAACCAAAGTCGTCCGCTTCTATTACTAACACGGACGCCTTTGAGTAGAACACTTGTTCCTGGATGCCAAACTGGGAAGGAAGGCTGAGTTTCTCTCCGGAGAAGCCAGCTTGGCTCGTTAGGTCTTGCCCACAAGCCAATTAGGGAGATCTAACGGCCGGTACAGTGCCGACTGTCCTACCCGAGACTGCAAGTCTCCAAGTGTTTTCAACTCCCGAGGGGAGATTTTATTTTGAAAGGAGGAACCGGATGCATCAACTTGAATCTTTCTGGCTCGAATCGAAGCAGACGAAAAGTTGCCTGAAATAACACCTTTTCGCCAAGGAACAGTGAGCGGGCCGATAAAAAGTTCCCTGACTGATCGTAGGTGAAGCAGTGACTACCCAGGGTTTGGTTAAGAAGCCATCACCAGGTAAAAACTGACATGTTCCGGGTGACGTGTCATGTGGAAATCTAAGCACAGAAAGGACGTGCTGATCCGGTTGAACTATACTCTTGATAAAGTAAAACTTAGTATAATACTAATCCTACTTTCATCCTTTCCTTTGTCTTTATTTGCCAAAACTTAAGCTAACAGTACCAGTAAAATTGTTTGGTTGTTAACATCAGAACTGACGTTTTACTGTTCTATATTATAAGTAATCTGAGTTTGATGTGAATTAAAATTCGGACGCATTTTTATCGCATTTAACTTTGAAGTTTGCTATAGGAATAACCATAATCAGGTGTACTTATGATCTGTTCAATTTGTGTAAATAAATGATTGCATAGTCTTTATGAATCAACTTGAACTCGTCTGAACGTTCCCTTATTGTGTCATTTTTCACTTCGCACAGTCAAGATATCAAAGTAATGAGAAAATACCTTGGTAAAACTTTCCTCATAACCTTATGTAGAAAGGCTTAATTCACCTTAAGCATACCCCCTACAATATTGATGCATTTTACTTTTAAAAAGCAAATGAATCCTTTAAATATGGTTCCTGCATCTTGTTTATCTTTACTTGAGGGTAAATTAGAAACTATAACAGTGTTTATGTGGCCTTGAACTTTGCAGAAAACTTCCTGTTTGATTGTCTATATGTTGGTAACTGGCCATTACCATAGGTAATGATCCACATTGAAAATAAACTACTTAATGAGAATTAGGCCATAAAAACACAAGGCAGACTCTATTCTGCTCATTCTCTCTGATTGAATACATCTTATAAAAGCCTTCTAACTCAGTATTTTGCTTTTTTTCAAAGTCTTTTCTTGATCCGTTACTTCATTTAGTTTTAAGTATGCTTACCATGCCAGTGGTGCAAAAAAGAAGGCAGCTTAGGGGAATGACTAGATTCCTGGTTTTATCAACACTCTGTAAATTTCCAATCAGTAGAAATAACACAACAGAACTACTGAAAACATTTATCAGTCATAAAACATTGTTTTGATTGAGCACTATCTTGGCTTTATTTTGGTTTCTCACATGCACAATTTTCACTTGTAAAGATTTGTGCAGTGCTGGCACATTACAGTCCTGCTAGCATGTAATACTGACATTTATAAGAACACAGACCTGTAGAAATATATATATAAAACAAACCTACCTGTTAAAACACAAACAGCTAATGGTGCTTCCTAAAAATAATCAAACCCCCTCACCTATAAGAGAAAGCTGTGTAGTGGAACTGAGCTGCAGATCCATGCCGTTCTTTAGCCAGAGGAGTTTGGGATTTGGGATGCCGTCGGCGTGGCAGTGGAGACTGGCAGACACACCGGGCTCCTGGGCTTGTGTCTCTGGGTAGACCAGAATCACCGGAGGAACTGGACATATGAGCACAAAAGCAAACATACAAACAGGCAGAGAGGAGAGGGACAAGTAAGGACATAATTACATACTGTTTCATGGTAGACCGAAACTCCTGGGGGGATAAAACACAAACACCCACACAAAGAGGAATTTCTCTCACCCCAGCATGAAATATATTCACAAATAACAAGAATCCAAGAGCTCTGGGAGGGGCTTTATCATAGCTTTAGTCCTGCATGGAATAAATGTTGGTTGTTTCTCTGTGCTTTTTTCTAAGAAGTCTTATATATATATA